CATGCACGCTGTTAACAGAAAGACGTGCTGCTGTTCAATCATAGCTTTTTAATGTCGCTTTCACTGCGAATTAAAAAGGCTCCAAAATCTATTGTGATGTTAAGTGAACAGAGAGCAGACAAAATCGTGCCACGAGTAAAAGCCCCGTGAGTGTGACTCTCGACTCAACCGAGCCTCTGATGTTCTCCACGCAGAGACGTGAAGCAGCGAGAGGACGGGGGGAGGGGAGGGGAGGGGGGGGGGGGCGGGCCCTGCAGGGGTTAAAAGGGAACAACATCAGTGGCACACAGGCAAGAGGACAAGGGTCAGCAGCGACAGGAAAAAGACGGAGGCTGCCCATGCGCCCATGTCTCCTCCTCCACCCGACCCCTATACACCCCCGGCCTTTACCCCCCCCCCCGCAGACAAGCATATGTGGGCTGACAACATGACATTGCCAGTGAAGAGAGCGAGGGACAGAGAGAGGGAGGACCAGGAGCCCGGGTAGCCCTGACATCCCCGACTCTGACAGCTGATGGAGGCAGATTAGACTCATGCACGCACACAACTGTCAGCCCCCCCCCATAACTGTCCCCATCCACCCCTCACCACAATTATACCCCCCCCCCACCCCCCACCCCCCTCTGCATCCGAAAAGCCACGCAGAGGCCTTCCTCCTTAGTTTTCCCCACCCCTAAACTTCTCCTATCTTGTGTCTACCCCCCCCCCCCCCCCCACGGCCATGCAAAGAGCAGCACTGACTCCCCAAACTGTCCTCCCTTTTTCTTCCTACTTGTACTATATACACAAAAGTAATGAGACAAATATACAGAAACGCACACTTCCACCCACGTTTCTTGCAGACAAAGTGGCTCAGCATTGAGGATATGACGTAATGCTGATCAGGCCTCTGCTGTGACCGAGCGACAGCCGAGGTCTAAGAGCCATGATCATAATCAACAATGTCGAGAACGGACCACCGAGAGCAAGTTGACTGACGCAAAGGCGTCTGCCTATTACCGCTCACATCGGATATATCCGATATCCTAATGTCTGTAATCCCCCTGACTCGGGTGCCCTCACACAGCCCGGGCGCCTCCTGCGGGGTCACCTCCCCGCATGGACGAGCTATTTATGTACCCACACCTTCACAGGGTTTTATTGCACTAGTTATTGGCCTCACCGTGAATAGTGAGGTTGAATTGTCTAGTTGGAAGTTATTGTTTATTTATTTGTTTAGTTATTGTTTATGCTTTGTAAAAAAGGAGAAAAAAATAGAGCCCTTTTGTGTAAGTGTGTGTGTGTGTGTGTCTGTGTGTGTGTGTGTTGGCCGTGTATTTCCTAGTTGGAAACATAAAGCTGACATTTAATGTCAACGGATAAGAGGGAAAGAAAAGAGTTATGAGTCTGGCTGTGTGTGTGTGTGCGTGTGTGCGTGTGTGTGTGGGTCTGTGTGTGTACACTGAGGCAGACGCCCACCTTGGGACAGCAGGCCATCGATTGAGCTGCAGGAAGAGGCCTATTATCTCCAGCCATGGTTCAAGCGGGGGAGTCAAGTGTGTCATATGTGTTGGCTCTAATTGGCAACCCACCATGGTGGAGGCCGACTGGGGCGAAGGCAGAGCCGCAGCAACACAACCAGCGCCACGCGTCGTGCAGTGCGACGCCTTTCACTCGCCGTGGGTTTGCCGTACTGACATTGCGGATATGTAAATCAGCTGAATGCAAGCACACGGTTAGAGACATTATGGAAAACAATTTGATTAGCTGACTCTAATGCAGATCATCATCAGGACTTGTGTGCGCTGCGGTGCTGCGTTTGGCTGCTTGGATGCTTGAGACAGTGTTGTTGTTCTGCTCGGTATTGTGCCCTCAATCCTGATGGTCATAATTTGTTCTGTTGTTCAGACTGATCTCTTATTAGACAAACCCTTGTGCCTCCGACGTTTCCTGTCTCTTCTCTGGTCTCCGGCTGAACGCTTACGTGATGTAACACTGCCCCCTGCAGAGGTGTACGCTCACAGCATTTACTGCCACCTCAAGACTGTCATTGAAAAATGCAACATTTGAAATATTATAGGATATAATAACCTGTAAGGCTTTGTTGGGACTGGAACTGACTTCCTTTCCAGGTGGCAAGAAAGCAAACCCAACTGTAACAAGAACTCGGTGTCTTGGAAAAGGGTTTTTCCATTTATTTCTAAATTTAGTTCTATGAGAAGAACACGACTTTTCAACCCAAGATATGGTAGAATTACCCACAAGGTGAAGCAACCTTAAGGAGATGTGTACTGCAAAATGTTTGCCACATTAAGCCGCTGTTAAAATAATCATCAATAATATTTAGGTATTAAAGCAGATTAGCTCCACACAATGTCTAAAAATAGTCAAATTCAAAATGGTTCCCTCTACCTGTAATTGGTTCCAGTGATTTAGTGTGAAAACCAAGTACAGGTTTCCTCTGCCCTCCTGGAACATTATTAATTCTCTTACTCTCTCCCTGCTGAGCCCGACAGCGAGCTCGGGTTCCCTATTTCCGAACCAGTGGGGATTCGAGCCACCTGTTTGTTCAGAGTGATATTGTGTCTGGTGATCCAACGAGGGCTTGAAGAGCCCCGCAGGTCTTCTCCACTATTATCGCCTCAGTGGGACCCTGAGCCAACAGGCCTTTGAAACTTGTGAAGTAATTTCGTCTCTGGTCGGCTGGTTCTGATCGTCCTCTGTAATTGACAATATGGTGAAGTTCATGCGTTCACATTTTGAATGTCGTCTTCCTTTGCGTGTAACGAACAGGGACTTTTCTCATAAGTTCATGAGTAGTTTGAAACACCCATCAATATGCAATCATATTGCCCGAACCATTAAATACTTTGAATTGTTGACTATCATGGCGGAGAACTCTCTCACTAACTTGATTAGGTCTTTTCTTCATGACTTGAACTGCAGTGTCATTAAATGAGCCAGTTGCATTATGGGAAAGCAAATACACCTAAACATCTAGACGACCTAGAGTTCCAGGCATTGTAGAATACCAATCTAAAAACACAAGACAACACAAAAAAATATTAAAACTAAGATAAGTAAATTAACTGAAGCAGAAGAAAAATTAACTTTGAGTATGAAAAGTAAATGTATGCATAACTCCAAGTTGTAACAAGTCATTGTTCATGTGTTTTATTTTAATACGCTACCATGTTCATCTCAATCTCCTCTTTTGCTGTTTAGCTGCAGAGTGCTTCAGCTACCACATATCGTGTCCCATTACCTACGGACACTGAATAATAATGCAGAACCTGTTTGTATTAAATAAGTACAAGGGCCTCCAAAATGTGCTTAGGTGCAGTACTTGAGTGACATTCCACCACTGAAGCCGTGTTTACATGTACAACTTGTTCTGCTGCTCCCAAGTGGATGAAAAGCAATTAACTTGTATTTGATTCAAGTATGAAGCGATGGAAAGCTCAGAATATCGGACTCTCAGTTTCCATCACAGGTACTTCTTTAGTCCTAACAGGCTGCGTCTATTTGATGAGCGGATCTTTTTGAGTTGGTGTGAGTTGTTGTTTCTGCCAGCAGTGGGCAGCAGAGAGCTGCGTGTGTCTCTGTCTCTGCACACTGACTATTGTTTAAGGATTATAACTAGTTTTATTCATAATACACATACACATGAATCCATTTTATGGAAAGACTCACCTATGGGCATGTTACACCCTTTTCTGCACTGCATGTGAGCCTGCCGTGTGTGTGTGTGTGTGTGTGTGTGTGTGTGTGTGTGTGTGTGTGTGTGGTGATGGAAGAGAAACATCAGGGCCTTTCCTGCCAACTGGCTCTGCCTCAAATGACAGAGACAGGTGCTGTAAAATCATCCCTTTATACCAGAACACACACACTCATGGCGACGCATGCCGACACCCACTCAGCACAGTCAGCACAGTCAGCACGCCAATGCACCGCGTGATTTCCCAGCTCTACTTTGTAACGTGAGCGTTTCTAGACCGTACCTTGTGCATTCATAGCTCACAGTGTTTTGTATGTGTGGTTGATTCCTCGTTTGTTCCTAATTCCTAATGTCGGTCCTCGCCATCTGTGCGACAAGCAGAGGAGCGTCGCCGCGGTGAGAGGGTCGCCAGTGTGGTTCGAAATTGTTTACTCGGTATCGACCTTTGACCTCAGGGGAAGACTTGCTGATGGGGCGTCAAAAGTAGCGCTTCGGAGATCCGACCGTCTCGTGATGCCAAACGCACCTTTCGTGCAGCTTGCTTTCCCACCTGTAAAGTAAAGCAACTGTCTCACTGTAGACACACCTCCCTGTAGTTACTACGGAGGAGTTCCACCAAAACTCCACATCCACTTTCATCTCTGCTTCGACATCACCCGTTGAGCACCATAGATCTCCATCGTCCGCTTTGACGCGAGGGTTCAAAATAGCAGGAGATCAAAGAGTTCTGGCTGAATGTTCTGAATGCGTGAGGGGACCCGACGGCGAGGTCACGACTTCCCCGCAAGAAGGATCGAAGAAGAAAGCAAGCGATGAACTTAAGGCTTTAAGCGAGATGTTGTGGAGTGCGGTGGGGGTTGTAAACGAAATGTTTCAATCGTTTCAGCAGCGATCAATGAGTCGAGAAACAGATACTTTTTAAATCCATTCATTGTTTGAAGTGAGTACAAAAAATACACATACAACATATTTTGTTTTCAGCTTTTGTTTGTTCCCATTTTGGCTTTTCTTGATCATTGTGAGCCTGTTTCTGATTATATAACTTCTACCTTGTATGTGTTTTATAAATTCTCTTTACTTTCTCTCTTTTAACCTTTCTGTAAAGCACAATTGTTTTGTGAAGTGTTTTAAATGTTGTAGACAGTGTTTCTGTCTACGCCATTTAAAACACTAACAGCTGCCCTGCTTCTCTCTTCATCCCCCCCCCCTCTCTCCCCCTCTTTCTCTCAACGGCCCGTGAGTGACAGCACATGTGCTGGGGTACACGGGAGGGCTAATGCTTAAAATTCTAACCCTCTTACCCCACGGCTGTGACAGGGAGGAGCTGTGAGAGAGCAGAGGGCGAGCGAGGCAGCGAGAGGATCGAGAGAAGGAAAGACGGGGGAAGGTCTCAGGGTTTGGAGGGTTTGGCCTTTTTTTCGCCCAGTAGAGCCGCCCCGGAGCCCGGTGAGCAGTGGAGGAGCCCCCCGATCGCTCTGTGGTCAGAGGTGTGTTCCCACTGAGCTTCTGAGTGCGGAGGATGGCGGGACGCGTGCTGCTGGCGTGCGCGATGGCTGCTCTGCTTTGTCAGGTAACAACCATCTCTTCAATGAGGCTTTTGACTGAAACAAACTAAATGTGTTGATTTTGTGTGTTTTCTGTGTTTACCTCACAATCTTGTATTCGGTTCGATTTAGTTTAACCTTTGACCCGAGAGTAGAAGTTAGAGCACAGGTGCACCGTCGACTTTGTGAACGCTACGGAAATGGCCACAAGTGATGAAACATTGCCTACGCTGCTATAAAGGACTGCACTTGAGTGTCATGTTGGTTGGAGAATAACTTATAGCTGCTCCTTTCAACAAAACATCAACTGATGTTCAGCAGTAGAGGCACGAAACTGGCGTTGCAATCGGAGTCTGCGGATGATCTAAACATTTCCTCCTGGTAGGAACGAGGGTGATGAAGTGTTTAGATGAGGACTAGACTCCAGATGTGTACACAGGACTCAGGGCATCGTTAGTGGCCGCTGTCAGCGGATGGCGATATGAGATCTGAAATGGACGACAATGTAAACTGACACACCATCTACAGCACTTCCAACCACCCTCGGTCTTCTCTCTGTTTGGAGAAGTAATGGAGTGCAGGTTGGGAGGGCGGGTGAGTGAGTTTGCTCCGTCTTGCTATGACGTGCTCTATAATTCATTGTATATTTGCAGATGTTTTGCAGTGGTAGATGTTGATAATTCAGATCTTCTCAATCAGGGAAGTTGTTTCAGCAAGTTTACAGCAAATTGTCAGCGTTTCATCCATTCCGGTCTTCTCTTTCATGTTTATTTTTTATGGGTGATTGAATGTGGAAAATCATGGGAACATGGGAAAAACACGGAGAAAACCAGTTTGTCACCAGGAGGCCTGATCATGACATCATCCACAACATATTTTGGTCAAATTTTCCGGTCATTAATAATTTGATTCATGACCTTTCATACACACATACTTAACTTCCGATACCTGTAAACCCTGATGGATGACCTTTAAGGTCCAGAAGTCCACAGGAAGGATGCAGATATCAGAACTGTTTCCCGTCTTCAATTGCAAATTCAAATGCCAAAGATGTTACAAACCAAAGTATCTCTTTCAGTTTGTTGCACTCCTGTCCACTTATCTTTTGGTTGGACTCATGGATGCTTTCCTTCACAAGCAACAGCAGGTCAGTGGACCCACATGCTATCCCACGTCCTGGCTAATAAACAAGCTGTAGAGATTTAGAAGTTCAAGTTGGGCAACTTGTGCCCTCATGTTCAAAAGAAATAAGCATAGGTTTCCTCTGGTAGGCCCCTATTGTAAATATAACATGATGAAGTGGTCTCTAAAGTGCCCTTACAGTGGAGAAAACATGATGAAGTGCACTAATTGTTGCCCATAAATGGAGAAAAGGATAAGCAGTGCCACAGAGAGGCTGGCCCACGTGAACATTCCTCCTACATGGATCTGGTGCCCTTTTTAAATTGATCATTCGTGTTCCTCAGCCAGCGTGAGTCTGACACTTTAACGGGGGAATCTTCGTTAGTAATAGTTGCCCTTGACAGAATCTTGCTATTTTTCTTCATGCTGAAAGAGGACGAATTGCTACGTGCCACACAAAAGTTGTCATGTATTCAGAAACAACAGAAAAAAGTTGTTGTCCCCTTTGTTGAACCAAACCAAAAAAACAGATGAATTCCACCTTTACCTGTGAGTCCGTGCATGAAATGGCCACATTTTCTTTGTATTTTTCCTGTAATTTAACGATAAACAGCTGTCCATTCAACCCAAAGACTTGAGCAGTGCAACCTGATAGCTTTCAGTTGTTCCCTTTTTATTTTCAGCGAGCTGGCGTTGTGTCGGAGTGGACCTGCTGCGTGTATGTTGTGCTGAGGAGTGAGCGTTGGCCACAGCTGTTCCCAGATGCATACGTGATGCCATTTGTCCCGCTCTGTAATCCCCCTCGTGGAAAGACGAGTGGGCCGTTCCTGAACCGTGAAATCGAGTACAAATCAAGAGTCTGTAGCAGCGGCCAGCTGCCGCTGACGTCTTGCTCGTCGGAAACAATCAGTCACAGGATTTGGACTGTGAATCACAGGTCCTGCTGGGTGTGGATACCTGCAGGATGTTTTACACTGAGTAGAGCTTCAGAGGGACCTCCAGGTCATTAAAGGTAGTCAGGAGGAGACACTCACACCTCACAAACTGGTGTTGTTTGTTAAATTTCAGGTTCGTCGTTGCCCATCGGCTCCTGTTATTATAAGAATAGATAAAAATGGCAGATTAAAAAGTACTGACTGTGATACAGAAGGCCATTTGGTGTACATCTCTTAAGTTTCAAGTTTCAAATGAGCCAGAATACTGTCGCGTAATGTCAGAATATGCTTTTGTTCTCCAAAGCCGACATCAGAGAGGCAGAATCAAGCTCCGAAAAAACCCTCAAACAGTGCTTAACGGTCCTTCTGAGAGGGCATCGCGTCCCCCAGACAAGCTGTCCATACTTCTGTGAGGGCTCGAGGTGAAAGGCCAAGCTGTAAAAGCATCTGGGAAAAGCTTCTAAAACACTTCCTTTGTGTGTGGTGTCATCGCTCAGCCTGTCAGGAAAAGGTTCCGACCACTCATTGTTCTAATTGGCAACGTGATACCTCGGTGTTAATACACCCTGGTCTGGTATAAACATGGTAACCGTGCTGGATGCTTGCTGGAGTCATTTTTACCTCCGACTGAAGAGTCCCAACAAGTCACTGATGTTTGTGAAGAAAAAGTCAATTGACTTGTTATTTGTTATCTGGTGACTGTAACATCTTCTTCTTCTTGCTTTCATCAGAATGGTGTTAGGCTTGTTTCCAGGAGGTCAGTCAGTCCTGCCGGTCTAGTATTTAGTACTAAAATATATAAAAGGTGAACTTATTTTAAATTTGGTACCATTGTTCATACCTTGTATCGTCTGTACTGATCTCCTGACTTTACCTCTAGTTTCACCAGTAGCTTGACATTCATGTATTTTACTGTAGTGACATGTTTTGCCACCATTGGGATGGATTGCTATTCCATCAGTTACAGATGCTTTTGGTGCCAAGATTTCGTGCAGTAGTTTTGAGTGAAATACAAAGTAGTAAATTCTAAACTCTTTACAAATAAACTCAAATAAATACTCTCAAATTCAGACAGTATACTCAAGTATAAATTCACATCCCTTCAAATGAATGGATTAGTCCAATGTCAATCTGCGGCCGACCGGATCACATTCATCCTAAATCTTGGTGCACTGGAGAAGAGTTTTTAAGTTCGATGAAGTTGCGTTGAAGCTCACACTGGTCTCCAGTCTGCACCTCGCTGAGTGAGGCTTCTCAAAGTCAGAAACAGGTGCTCATGTAGCTCATGCAGGCGACAAATCAGACAAACTTAGAAAGTGCTATACTTGGAAATACAACTGGGATGCAGCTGTTATGAATGTTGAGGTTAAGTGACATTGCAGAACGCATGAGAGCTCATATGTAGATGTCTTAAGTATGGAGGTAGATGGCTATGAGGATGATTTTGTGCGTCGCACTTCTGGAATGTGAGCGTAAACATCACTGTGAGAGCGGAGATGACGATGGCTATAAAGAGTTCAACTGGGAGGGGTCCAGAATATAAAGCAGTCCACGATTAGCTTGCCCTCCAGCATGGTTTGGCCGTCAGATGCCAGCCATGGTTGCCATTCCTCCCTGCAGCATGCCGGAGGATCAGCATATCACGTCCCCGTCTCCTCACGGCCTCCAAGACCAGACGGGGATCACAGGCCATTCACAAAATACTCACATATTTATCCTCCATCTATTATTTGGCCTATTTAACTCACGGAAACAAGTCGTCCTTCAAGATGTGCTTGTATTACATGTTTTTTCACAGGCAAAGGCAAGTTATTAAATCTTTTTTTTCTGCTACCATGGCGTATGCATTTGAGCTGTTAAACATATGGGAAGCTGTGCTGAATCCGGTGAATTCCCACGGAGAAGGAGGAAGCAACTTACGGAAATGTACACGCATGAGTGGGTGTTTTGTTGATGCACATGCGCATGTACTACATCAGTGTGTGTGTGTGTGTGTGTGGGTGTGAGAAAGCGTCTATGTGAGTGTGTCTGTTGAATTCCTACAGGGGAGCAGATCCGTAAGTTGATCCCAAACTCCCAGTCAGGTGCAGAGCTGAGCATAAAGAGGAATTTGTGAGTGTGAGCGGGAATGCGGGTGGGAAAGCACAGGGTCTAAATCCATAGTCGACAGCTGTTGTGTTTATGTATGTGTGTGTGTGTGTGTGTGTGTGTGTGTGTGAGTGTGTTTGCGGGAACATGGTCAAGACAGCAATGTGGTGGATGAGGGCTTGTAAGAGCAGCGTGGGTGTTTGTGTTTCCTCGACCTGAGCTTATTTTGCACACGGTTCAGAGGAAGCTGACAAAGACGTTTATTAGTGAGTGAAAGCGGAAGTCGTGGCCCTGCATCCCTTATTGCCCACAGTCACATTAATTCCACATCAGAGACCGCCGCGGCGCTCCAGCTTGCATACAGCCATTCCAGCCGACCATTGGGAATGTTCAAGCGCTGAGGGAGAATAAATATAATTTGCCTTGCATGAAGGAGAATTACTCAAAACGTATACTTCATGTCCACTCCTGTGACTTTCTGCTGTGAGTTTAGTGCTGCTCTGGTTTCCTTCAGGTGTGGATCGCTGCGGAACCACATCACAAAGAAGAAGATGTCCTTTTCCCGTGGAAGAATCAAGGCAAGGGAGTGGTCCGGGTGAAGAGGGACTGGATCATCCCTCCAATCAGAGTGCTGGAGAATAGCAGGCAGGTTCCCGAAGACCTTGTCCAGGTAAAACATGTTGAGATATGATAGATACCATATAGAGATATGATGCGGCACGTTTGTCTCCTTCTGGAATAAATGGTTCTTAACATTATGCGTTCATAGTTTGTCAAGACTATCTAGAATGTTTGCTTCCCTTATTCTGGCCAGTAAAAGATGCCTGAACCCTCATTAAGCAAATATAATGAGCCGACTAACCGCGTAGAGACAGACACACAATACTGGATCCCGATGAACACAGCGCTGTACGGCCATACGATGCTGATTAGAATTCTTAAACGCAGATGATCCCATAAGTCAGAGAGCAATGTCTTGTTTAGGCTGTCGCAGTAGAGCAGTTAATATATACATCCTACCGCAGAAGGAGAAACACAGAGCCTGATGAGGAAAATGCGATGTAGGCCACATGTGAAAAAAAGTGAAAACAAGATGTGTGAAATATAGACTGTGAGTTTAAGCACGCGTGTCTCGAGGCCCTCAACTGTCAGCACACATCTGGCGTTACGACAAACGATTTACAATCCTCCACACGAGGTCGTGGCGATGACCAACTGTATCTCCTCTCTCTGTCCAGATCAAATCGGACAAGATATTTACAGGTGAGGTGATCTACAAGTTAGAGGGGCCGGGGGTGGACCAGGACCCCAAGAATCTGTTTGAGATCGATGATAAAACCGGAGTCATCAGGAGCAAGCGGCAGCTGGACCGAGAGACGCACAAAAGCTTCACGGTGAGAGAGCATTCATGCACACATTGCCGCTGTGCGAGCAATAAGGCCTTACGCCTTGTTTCAGAGCACAGGTCCATGTTTTTGTTTTAAAGGGTACATCAGTGTCCCAGACGCTGGCATATAAACACAGAGGTCAGTTTCTAAGGGCCTTTATGGGCATCTTGGGAGAGACTTCAGAGAGTTTACGACCAGATGACTGGGATGCAACCTGTTGTGTTGTCCAAATATACTCCACGTTTCTTCCTGCTACATCCAGCACATGTCCAGTACAGACACTACAAATACCCAGTTGTATGTTCTCCTCAGCCGAATGCATGTTCTAAGAAACTATAATCTCATCAATTCAGTTTTTTTTACCTTTGACTTTTGTGTGTGTGTGTGTGTGTGTGTGTGTGTGTGTGTGTGTGTGTGTGTGTGTGTGTGTGTGTGTGTGTGTGTGTGTGTGTGTAGCTGAAAGCGTTTGCCCTGTCCCCCAGTGGAGAGAGACTAGAGAATCCTACCATCATAGAGATAGTGGTGCTGGATCAGAACGACAACAGACCCGCCTTCACCCAGAGCCAATTTGTCGGCTCTGTCCCTGAGTTCTCGGTTCCAGGTACATTTGTTTGCAAATTACCGCAATGAAAAGTTTTCTTGTCCTATTGAACGATGATGATCCAAAAAGTCATTCAATTATTCTATAACTTCCTCAAGTAGCTTTGACTAAAATATAAAAACTTTCCCTGTTTGTTTGTTTGTTCAGTTTGTTTCAGTGTGTCATTGATTCACATTATTAGTGGACAGATGATTATTACCTGATTAGATTCAGGTCACTGTTTTGGTTTTGGTCCGAGAAGCGATTGAGCATTAAGCTCTAAAGTGTGACTTCATGCTACCTGCAAACAAACAGCAGCCAGTTAGAGATTTCCTTCAGGAGTTTGTGCGGCTCAGACCAGAAGTAAAAGTCAAAGTTACATGTTACACAATAGTTACATAAGCAGCTGCTTTCCAAGTTGACTTAAATGACATTAAATACGTCAGTGTTATGAAGACTTTTTTTTCTGATGCCGCAATAGATTTCAGGATTAGGAAAAATACTCAAATGCCAGATGATGTGTATCAGTGGCTGCAAAGTAATCCGGTTATTGAATTCAGATTATGACATCACTCAAATAACAGCAGGTAAGAACACTATGGTTTAAGACTTTTTACCTGTTTTTTATTTTTGACAGGCACCTCGGTGATGTCAGTGTCAGCCACCGATGCAGACGATCCAATGACAGAAAATGCTTTTCTCAGCTACTCCATCATTGGTCAGGAGAGCATTCCTGTCAATGCTGTTACCAAGACCATGTTCGGTATCAACAACGAGACGGGAGCCATCCACACGAGAGATGTGGGCCTGGACCGAGAGGTGAAACCTCAGCTTAAGACCGATTCTTTGGCAGATCATTCTAGTACGGCTCATTTCACTGATGTGTGGCGTGCTGTGGCGCAGGTGGTGAAAAGTTTCAGATTAAAACTGCAGGTTGCTGATATGGGGGGCATGGGACTAACGAGTGAAGCCGTGGCAATCATACACGTGTCTGACATCAACAACCACGCCCCACGGTTCACCCAGCCCGAGGTGAGTACACAATGTGATAGTTGTCATTTAAAAATAAAAATACTACTAGTGTTTAGTTGGGTGTTGAATCATTTGATCGGTGTTTTGTGCGTGGTCCGTGTAGCACCTTATGAAAGCGCTGGAGAACCGGAAGGACTTTGAGATTGGCAGGGTGAAGGTGGAAGACAGAGATGAACGGGGAGAAGGTAACTGGGAGGCCAAGTACTTCATTTCCAACGACCCCGGAGGACACTTTGCCATTAGGACGGACCCAGGCACCAACGAGGGTGTTCTGACGGTGGTGAAGGTACAGTCTGCCGACCGGCGGGAAGTGTTAGAGGGGGGAGTCTTCATTTTAATGTCCATCAAAACATTACATTTGTGTATTTTTATTTGTATCCTCACCCTGACCTCATAATTCCCTATTTTGTCTTTAATCTGTTTTGTCATTTTTCCATGTTTTATACTGCCGACATGCAAAACACATCTGACAAACTAAGGGTTTGGCCAAAGGATGGAACACAATACAACAATTCACACAAACGACTGTAATGGTTGTGCTAATGCTACATTTTATAGATCCATTATTATGTCCTAATCATTTCAGGTTTTCTGGAAGGCACTATGCAAAATGTTAATTCAGTTGCAAGTTGTATACAGCGAAAGTCAATATTTAAGGCTGTCCACCATTAAAACCAAAAGAGAGTTTCTATATGGAAAAACTATTGACAGTCTATTCTGAAGAATAAAAATAATCCACATACGAAGGTCAAAACGCACTCTGATATACTGTAACTGAACAACACTCTCTAGTGGTTGAGTTTTAAACTACAAATCACAAAGAAAAATGCTTTACTTTTTTTGATAAATAACTGAAATTCCATCTTTTGTTGTACATACATATTCATAACTCATTATTTATTATTTATTATCCAACCACATTGCAGTGCATCATGTTCCTTCCACAAACAGCCTTCTGCCCTCTGTTTTTTCCCGCAGCCTTTGGATTATGAAGCACAGGCCGAGCGCGTCTTGGTTCTTACAGTGCAGAATGTAAACCGCCTGAGCGACAAGGCTCCCAACCTCCCAGCGAGCAGCGCTACAGTGACTGTGGCTGTAGTGAACGAGAATGAAGCACCACTTTTCAGTGACGACCCCATACAGATCGTGGTCCCTGAGTCTGTGCTTCCTGGGACGTTACTGAGACGAAATATCGCCTTTGACCCTGAACATTTGGACCTGAGGTACGAGGCAGCCACGAAAAAAAGAGTAAAAAAAAAAATGGACAGTTTAATGTGTCTGTAACTGTCACTCTGCTCTCTGCGGCAGGTATGAGTTTAGCAGAGATCCCGAGAGGTGGCTGGAGATCAACAGAGACACGGGAGACATTACTGCCAAGAGAAGGTTTAACATGCGATCCCCAAATGTCAGAAACAATATCTACAATGCTGTTGTCAAGGTTACAGGTCAGTTTATTTATGCTTACCACACGTGTTGTAAGGTTGAATCATATTAAATAAGATTTACTCCTCCTGTGTAGATGCTGGCGGCGTGTCGACCACTGCGACAGTGGCCATCACGCTGACGGAGACCAACGACTTCCCCCCCCAGCTCCTCCCTCTGAGCGGCACTGTGTGTCGGGCCGCGGGCCGCAGGAGTCCTGGTATGGTTGTGACGGCTGTGGACGAAGACCTCCCCCCCCACGCTGCACCCTTCACCTTCAAGATTCCTGATGATCTGTCAATCAACTGGACCGTCATTCAAGTCAACGGTAAGGACAGAACAGGAGGGGGGGGGGGGATGAGGATGGAGTGGGCGAGGGGTCCGCACGACCCTGCTGACTCTCACAATATTGCCCTCTCTTCAGATACTCATGCGCTGCTCCAGCCGCTGGTGGAGCTGCAGGCGGGAGAGTATGTGGTCACCGTGTTCGTGTCCGACTCTGGCAGCCCGGTTCTGAGCGCGTATGCTCAGGTCAACGTCACCTTGTGCGTCTGTAACTACTTTGGGGATTGTAAGTCTGAGGTGGGGGCCGTCCTGAGCTCCAGCGTGGGGATCAACTTCATCGCTCTCGTCATCGTCATGGCCAGCATCGCACTCCTACTGTGTAAGCCTCGTTTTCAATCGTTCCGTCTTAAAAAAAGAAGAAATGTCACACACAAATGAAGCAAACGCGACCTCAAATGCTTTCCGTTGGAAATAAATGGCATTTATAGATTTGCTCTTTTGAGTTTATTTTACAAATAAGTACAAACATTTGTAATGGCGTCTGCAGGTTGAAAGACAAAACACGCTTTGGACATGCTTATTGATTTCTAGATTATGTTGCGCAATAAAAAATAGAGCTGTAACGCTGAGTTATTTGTCAGAAAAAGCAACAGAAATTATTTTTGATAATTTAGTCAAGATTACGTTTTTGTGACTCTGGACTCCAGATTAGGTTTTAAAAACTAAATGATAAAATGACAGATAACAGCACTTAATGGTTCCCCTCTGTTGGATCGCAGTACTGCTCCTCCTGGCTGTGGCGGTGACTCACTGCGGGAAACGCCACCATATCAAGAAAGGAACAGGCCTGCTAGTTGGGGAATCCGAAGATGACATTCGCGACAATGTCTTCAACTATGACGAGCAGGGCGGGGGGGAGGAGGACGAGGTAAGGCTGCACGCCACCGCTGTGTTCCCAGAGTACACGCAGAGCCGGCCTGTAGCTTCTCCCTCTCACCTTGCAGAATGCCTTCAACATCGACCTTCTGTGGAATCCCCACGATGCTCCTTCCACGCCGGGGTCCTACTACCCAGGACGTGGTGTCCCACGAGGCAAGCAGCCCCTCAGGAGGGACGCCCCGCATAACCTGCCCTCCCCCATCTACCCACGGAGGCCTCCAGCGGATCCCACTGACATCGAGGACTACATCAGTGACGTGAGCCGCTTCTACCGTCGACCTGTTTCACCCACATAGGAACTAACGTTACATGAGAGTATATATCCGTACCTAAAGTGCAAAGTGCAAATCATGAATTCACTCGACAAAACCACTCGATCCCACTTAGGAGACAGGAAGTGTAACATTTTATTTTAATGCTTCATCTTGGAGCATTTTGTGGGGACTTGGACTGGAAGAAATGTGTGTGAATTTCCCATCTATAGGTCAAACTCTCCACATCGGATTTTACACATCAAAGTCTGTTTTCAGGTGTAAACTGTAAATATAAAGTTGTAATGCACATTTCTCCCTCTGTGCGATTATATCCAAAGCTTGTAATGTTTCTTCCTTCAGGGCCTCGACGCTGCAGACAACGACCCTAACGTGCCGCCGTACGACACAGCCCTGATCTACGACTATGAAGGAGAGGGCTCGCTGGCAGGCAGCTTCAGCTCCATTGCTTCAGGCAGCTCTGACGGAGACCAGGACTACGACTACCTCAACGACTGGGGACCCCGCTTCCAGAAACTGGCCAACATGTTTGACCCTCGATAAGGCGGACTGCACACCACAGAGAGACCTGTGTGCACACGGGTCATTTCTCAGGTGGTTTTTCTGCACACATTTTGAAGACCAGGATGTGAAGTGTGCCAAAGAACGGTAAATTGCATTCGGTTTAATGTGCCACGGGTTAAAATGAGGATCATTTGGACACAACTGACAAAACGGCACGTTGGAAAGTTTTGTAGCTCGAGAAAAGTTAATGAGAAAGTAAAATTGTGAGTTGAGATGATCCGTCATGAGGGAGGAAGCTGTGCATGACGCGAGGCACAAACATGTTGAAATCGTGGTACATGTGTGGTTACACTTGCTCAGTAATGATGCACAAACCTGAGGTATAAAAATAATGCATTTCTTTTTTACTTTACTGCTTTTTGTAAGAAATTAAATTTGATATTCATTTTTGTTTGTTTATTTTTCCTCCATTCCTGCATCTGTTAATCTTTTTGGAAAAAAAATGTTTGCAACTAAACAAATTGTACCAAACAATATTCTAAGTCAAATTGATTGGGGGTATAGGCTTTGAATTAGTTTACAGTTATTGTATGTAGAATACATGTAAATCTTTCATTTTGTGTGTGTATTGTTGTGATCCTCCGCCAGGTTTTGAACGTAATTCATTCCTAGAAATAGATTCAGTGCAATCTTCCACATTTGCTTATGTTGGAGCTTTACAAAAAACATTTTTAAAAATGTTCAAGCATCTCCTTCATTGATCTTCAACCTTTAAAATAAAGGTAAATAAATAATGCATAACAACAAAGCAAAAACAGGACAGAAAATGGGGAAATATCCCGTCTGCGTAGTCCGGTGCCTGATCAGCTTTGAGATGTTTCCGCAGCTTGAAGTCCACCTGTGGGGGAGTCAACTGAGTGGACAGGATTTGAAAGAAGCACACACCTGTCTGTCCAAGGTCTCACAGCAAAGACTTCACCAGAGCAGAAAAAATAGAGGGTGAAGCAACATCTTGCAGAGCTCAGGGACACAGTTTTGTTGAAACGCACTTTCTCCTACAATAAACGTTGCCAGAAGCACAGTGGCCTTCATGATTTCTAGAATAAGTTTAACAACCACAACTCTTGCAAACTCTCTCCAAACTGGGCCATTTAGGGCAGAGGACAACAATCAGAGAAGTGACCAAGATAAGGTCCCTCCAGCTGAGACAAGAGATTTCTTTCAGCAGGACGGATGTCACTGCAACACTCTGCCGATCTGGGCTTCATATCAAATATCAGAAGCTCAGTGAAAGGCCGGCTGCTCACGACGGCCTGCTAGGATTTCCTTTTTTTTTTTACTTTGTGTGTCTTTGCGTTTGAAAGAAACAAAGCCGGTTGTGGCAGCGTGACGCTGTTGTAGTTGGTTCTTAGCGTTGGCGAGTTGAGGGAAAATTGAATGGAGAACAGTAGTGATATCCTCAAAATAAACCTGTTTGAGTGGTTCGGACCTTAAATTAGGCTAAAGGTTTGCCTTCCAACAGGATGACACATAGCACAATGCTGCCACGTGACGATGTGTGAAAAGTACAACGGTCTGAATTTACTCTGCTGCTAAATGTGACATTAAGAGCAACACATACTATTTTAAAACTTTATTCAGCTTTTAATATTAAGCAACACAATCCATTGGAACGTAATAGTCACTCGGGGCAATCAAACAATACAAAGTCCAAAAGACTAAGAAAAGCGACCTATTAACTCCATTTGTGTGTGTCGTGGTCAAAGGATGACCAAGGTGTGTGGGCTGATATCTGCAGCTTAAAATCAACATGACAATAATGCAGACCTTATCGTGTTTATGTACCCTGAATTATTGCTAATATATTTGGTGCCTTCCATCTCTGACAAAGTAGGAAGAAAAAGAAAACAAACCTTTCTCTATCAAACAGATTCATAGATGTGAAATCAATTCTATACAAGCAAAGCAAATCAAAACCTACATATGCTGCAGTTTGGTTTGCATTAAAATGATCTCATGTCATTTTAAGGTATTAGTGCACTTTGCAGACTGAGCATGAAACGGTCGATTGCACGTTCTTTAAATATCTGGCGACCCGTTTGAACCGACCGGTCTCTTGTGCCTCCACGGCATCAGCATTTAGCAGTGCAGCAAACACACAGGAGAAATGATGAAATGCCTCCCACAGGAATCCTTCTCAAAGTTGCACTCAGTTAGTTGGCTAACTGGAAAATATCTGCACGGAAACATTGCAGATTTCCCTCTCAGCCATAAAAAGCTTCAAAGTGAGCGATCAAAGCCTCAGTTTAAAGAACGGAAAGACTTTTACGATCAGCTCAGCTGTGGATTCACGTCGTCTTCTCCTTGTTTAACGGGGGCTGGTCGAGGTTCTTCTTCTCCTGTGTCTTGTTTGTCCCTCTCGGCCTCCAACCAGCTCTGCGGGTGAATTAACTTCTTGGGCCCGTGGGGGGGGGGACCCAGCAGGGCTTCAATGTCATCGTAGTTGACCACCTCTCGTTCCAACAGCGCGTTGGCCATCTGGGGAACGTGAGTAAGGAAGAAGTGCTGTGCTCAATGGGATCGAGAGGGAGGGGGGGGGGGGGGGGCATAGTGTCAACACACAAGTTAGATGAGAGGAGCAACTGACCAGTATGAGTTTGTCTCTGTTGTCCAGCAGCAGCTTCTCTGTGTGCCTGTAAGCCCGCGCTATCAGCATCTTCGCCTCCTAAAAACAAAGAGGAACAAGTGACAACAAATCGAGAATGAATTCATTGTGACACGAAACGGAATTCAGAGTGATTTGATGACTTCAATGTGACAACCGCTGAGGGAGGATAAGGGAGAACGCACGTGGTCCATCTGCTGCTGCAGACCCTGGCTGAAAGGACGGCGCCCGGCGCCACTTTGCTGCTCCGCGTCCGGGAATGAGACTTGGCCGACGCTGTCACACATGCCGTACTGCTTCACCATGGAGTAGGCCACCCGCGTCACCTTGCGCAGGTCGTCCTGCGCTCCTGGGAACGCAAGAGGGGGGACACTTCAATCACTGTTGTTGACTGGGTGCCGAGATACGAGAGGATTTATATCTGCATGTTATGGAGTTTAGGTTTTTTGTTACTTGGCAGAAATTCCTACTCACAGCAAATCAGACGTCTTGATGATACAATCAAAACAATCATTTTTAAATTTATTCATTATAATCATCAGGGTAAAGGCCGGCGCATGCGTCCGCGTCGTTGCACTCATTTCAATTCATGGTTCTAAAAGTCTTGCAATTCACAGTGTGTGCACAACAGGCCGTACCTGTTGTGACCTTGTTAAAGGTGATTGCCTCCGCAGCTCTTCCTCCCAGCGCCATACACAATTCACCACCAGAACAACAGGCGGAGTAACGTGTTTCTGATGAAGATGACCTAGAGAGTCACGTCTATTTATTTATTGATTTATCATAGACTTTATTGCCCCGTGCATCGATACTGCTGCTTTTCATCGCGGACACATTTGTCCCGTATTTTCCCCCACAACTTTGTGCACCTCTCGACCGGCAAACCGGTGTTTGCGGCGATCTCCCTCCATTGATCCAACCCGCTTCTACAACCCGCCAATGACGGCTTGTAGAAGCGGTCATATTTACGCATTTCTTCCGACAAAAGCTCTTCAATCTGCTCCGTTCTCTCGTAAACATTCTTCGTTTTAATAACGGCGGTATCGGGCTATGAAAGCGGAAATGTGAGACTCCGTAAAGGACGTAGTTAGCGGACCAATCGCAGCCTGGTGCGCTGCGGGAGGCAAGGCGCAAGCGACGCAAGCCTAGAAAAATGGCTCGACACACGCAAGGACGCAAGGGCGTGTGAAAAGGCACGCAAGGGACACGCAAGGGGGTCTTGCGTCTGCGTCGCTCTGAAAACGCAGAAGCATAAACTAGGCTTAAATAACAGAAGTTGTTTGAAAACCGAAGTGAGCTGTGAACACAGTGTGTGTACAACAGGCCGTACCTGTTGTGACCTTGTTAAAGGTGATTGCCTCCGCAGCTCTTCCTCCCAGCGCCATACACATCCGCTCAAACAGCTGCTCCTTGGTGAACAGAAACTGGTTGCGAGGTAAAATCTGGGCAAATCCCAGGGCAGCGTTAGTCCGTGGGGCGATGGACACCTGAAAGACACACCACACAATCAATGGTTTTGACAAAAGTCCTGCTGCGTCCACACGAATGACCAGAGCCAACTCACAAGTTACCTTCAAGACTGCATCAGTGTGCTCGAGAAGCCATCCCACTAAGGCATGCCCGGACTCGTGGAAGGCCACTACCCTCTGCTCCTCTTTGGACAGGATCTTACTCTTCTTTACACTCCCTGAAGAAAGAAACAAAGAAAGAGAGAGAGAGACGTGTCAGATTTTGCCAGAGTAGCATATTTTCTCACAGTAGAATATAGTAATTTGCATCGTACCTGCTATTATTCTCTCAACTGCATACTCAAAGTTGAAGGTATCGATGGACTTGTGCCCTTCTCTGGCAGCGTGCAGGGCGGCTTCGTTACAAATGTTAGCTATGTCTGCACCTGCAGAGACAAAAAGAGATTCAGCAAAAGGGACGATCACTGCACGGACGCGGCATTTCACGTAAACACACACACACACAACGTGCCTTATGCTTATTCGTGGACGCAGGCCGGTACTTTGCAATAGCCACGTGTTCATAGATTAACATGAGGACAAATCAATAAACGTGTTTATACCACTGAAGCCGGGGGTGAGCTCAGCCAGACGCAGGGAGTAGAAATCTGCTGGTTGGGTCAGCTTCAAGATCTTCAGATGCTGCTCATAGATCTCCTTTCTCTCCTGAGGGACGGCGATTCAGACAGTTAAATATATTTAACGTCTAGACCGTGTTTATTACGAAACTAAGAAAAATTCTAACGAAGCAACTGTCGAATGCGTCGGACTACCTGCAGGGTGGGCAGATCGATGAAGATGTGCCTGTCCAGCCGGCCGGGTCTCATGAGCGCATTGTCTAAGATATCGGCTCTGTTGGTGGAGGCGAGGACGATGACGTGGTCCGTTGTCCCCATTCCTGCAAAAGACATTCGGTCCGGAAAGGTCCGATGAAAGGCGACGAGGGCAAACCGCTCGTGCTGCCCCCGCGCTTCACTCACCGTCCATCTCCACCAGCAGCTGGTTGAGGGTCTGCTCCTCTTCCGTGTTGGAGAAACCCGACGCGTTGGTGGAGCGCTTCTTTCCCACGGCGTCGATCTCATCAATGTAGACGATGCAGGGGGCTCTGCTCCGGGCCTCCTTGAACAGACTCCTCACCCTGGCAGCACCCAGGCCTTGCGCACAAACACAACGAGAGGAGGGAAGCACCAGAAGATGAGCCGTGACGCCCGCAATCAGAATAAATAACCGACCAAGCAGTGATATTTTTTGTGTCATGTGAGAAAGGGTTTGAGACAATCATTACGGAGGCTAAAATACACATGGAAGCACAGACGTAAAGCAGGCCTGGAGCATGCATTTCACCCATGCATATGATGAATGAATATAATGCCTAAGAATCGACCATTTCTTTATTGAACTACAGGATATTCCTGCACTTTTAAAAAACATTCAATATCACAAAATGACTATTACTAACCAAATCTACACTAGAATCTAAACCACAATTCCAACACAGCTAAACCGTTTTGAAGCCATATCAATTGGCGGTGGCGTCTTCACGCACCTCCGATGACCTCCACGAACTCTGATCCGGCCATAGCCAGGAAGGGCACTTGGGCCTCGGTGGCCACAGCCTTCGCCAGCAGCGTCTTCCCACAGCCCGGAGGCCCTAGCAGCAGTGAGCCCTTGGGAACCTTGGCTCCGAGCTGGAGGTACCGTTCTGGATTCTGATGTTACAGAACACCCGCAAGGTCAGCGGTGGACAACGTTGTACTCGTGTGGGGAAAAAAGACACAAGAACTTGGTGGTTATTGCGAGTCCGGTTTCTTACCTTGAGGTAGTCCACAAATTCCTTTATTTCCATCTTGGCCTCGTGCATGCCTGCCACGTCTTTGAAACTCACACCTTTACCGGACTTGCCGTCCACAATGGTGAACTTGGCCATCTTCAGCTGATTCTGTAAGGTCCATTGTAATGTGGGATTACCGCATTAAATAAACCAGAGGAAAAATAAAGATGGGCACGGGGCACATTTCTGATGTGGTTACACTCACAAAAGCACTAAAGCCGCCTTCTCTCCCACCCATGCCCGCTAGCCGGAAGATGTACCAGAGTATAGCCACGCCGATAGCGGCCATCCCCAGAGCATAGACCGCGCTGCAAGGACAACAGATGCAAAATAGTGGTTAAAGAAAACCTCTGACCGTGAACGAAGACAACGTCCCCTCCAATTGCTTCCTTTCAAAAAGTGTGCACGGACAAAGCGCGTGTTCTTACTTCCCAAAAAATCCAGTGCGCTTGTAGGACACCGGTATCCTGTCTTTAGCGTCGATATTCAGCTCCTCTTCGGCGGCTCTCAGCTTCTCCTCGAACTTGTCGATGTTGGCGACCTGCATTCTGTAGGTGAGCGCCAGCCTCTGCGGAGGAGGAAACGCGGCAGGGAGTGAGAGGTTAGGAGTCAGGTCTGCTGGTCAGACCAGCTTGAGCGTTTCCATCACGTCCTGCTCCACGTACGGGCCTCCCGAAGATCACTGCTCCGGGATGAAGGTAGATTTCGACAATGTCGCTCTCAGGAACGACCTGCACGCGCGACACCTCTCCCTTGGCCAGCATCTCGTTGACAAAGTCGTTCCACGAGATGTTTCCCCCGCTGGTGTTGATGGAGTTCAGCAGGCTCATGACCAGCGCTATGATGAACAGGGTCCGCAGGCGCTCCCGATACATCTGGTCCTGCTGCTCGCGACGTTTCTTCTCCTCTGGAACGGGAGGACGATAAAAAAAACGATCAAAGAAATGAACAAAGGCCACAGTTGGGAGTCATTTAATCAGCTCGGCACGTCGTTGCTTACCTTCGTCTTCCTCCGGAGTTTTTCCCTTTGCTCCATCACTTTTATTTTCCTCTTGATTGGATCGAGATGTGCTGAAGAAGTTTATTGATCCTGATAATCCAAAAGTAGTCACGTGTGAGTAAAATAAAGGACTCTTAAGTAAACGCACTAAGGATGATAAGGCTGTGCTTACCCAATAGATTTATCAGACCAACAGGGTTATGCAGCAGGTTGTTCCTGATTAAGTCTTTGCTAATTCCCAGCATGCCAGGACCCATCGGCCTGTGGAGGAGACTCTAAAATGGGAACACGGTGTTTTTGGTGGGATAAAATATCAAGAGCAACCTTGTCAGAGTGGAGTAGTGAAGATGCACCAGGTAGAAGCAGTACGCATGACGACATTTCAAATGAAAGGACCCCCCCCCAAAAAAGGGACAGTTTAATTACACTTATTAAAAACATCCGCTCCAAAGTCGGAGACGCATTGAACGCAGCGGGATGCTGTTAAAAGGCCTGACAATTTAAGCCGATGATGTCATTTTAAGGCCACGGAGACAGCTGACGTGATTTGTAAGCAGATCATACTAATGGAACTCCTTGAGATGTAACGCGCAATGTCACGAAGAGATTCCCACGATCACGCGGCTCGACCGCGTAACTCGGCGAGTCCACGGCGTAACTCACCTGGATGACTCCCTGCGGCGGACTCTTTCTGAAGCACCCCCCTCTGAACAGCACATGTTTACCGCCGTCGTTGGATATCGACTTTTGGGGTATTACGCGACAGTTCTGCCTCGACAGCGTCCACAATAAACCCGCGCTGTATTTCCTGCACAGTCCGGTGCGATGCCGCAGCAACAGCGCCGACATGGTCCCCGTAACGTTACGTTAACTCAACAGCTGTGATCCCATAGCCTTCTATTACGCTAAAACCGTGTCTTTACACGTTTGTTTACCCACCCCAAAGAATCCGTTGCGAGCTAACGTTAGCTAGCTGTGTTATTCAACTGTGCAGCTGCGCAAAGACGTCAGCTCGAGATCAACACCGCAAACTGCGCACCGCCGGGCTGCTGCACGCGGGACAGAAACTACACATTTTCTCTGTGAATTGAAAGTCGTCTGTATATTTCTAATACTCAGCACTGTAAAAATAATCAATAATTTAATCGGAGCTGAGTATTGAACACCGGGGCTTTGCACATCTCGCTGGTTTTGGAAACATCTTTGTTTCGAACTTTGAACTTCAACCCTTCTTATTTGTCTTCGAGGACCTACACGCTGCGCGGGGATTTGCGCAGAGATTACACAAGCAATGTCAGCGCTGCACTATCTAGTCACACACAATAATGCACGCAGTTAATGGTAAATAACATATTATAGCTGCAAAATACGGCAGTATTCTTCCAACCAAACATTTATGGTGTACAATGCAGCCAATAAAAATCCGGTGGCGCACACTCACGGTATAAATGTTAGTTCCATTCATAGTTGCGCTTTATATTGCGCCATTATGGGCCCAGAGTGCTGAATGCATTTTTTGCAGGCCAATGTTTGAAACAGCAGATACACATTTTCGCTACATATAGGTAATATGTAGCATTTATCATATCTCAACATTTAACAAATAACAGTATAAATAAAACTTACTACATGCATTTTATTAAGGTAACTATGCATATGTGTGTGTGTGTGTGTGTGTGTGTGTGTGTGTGTGTGTGTGTGTGTGTGTGTGTGTATGTATAGATGATCAATCATATGAGGTTTGATTGATCGTCTTTCAAAACAATAGCTCGAAAGTATGAAAAACATAGTAATTCAACTCCTCAAGTGACCGATGCAGCCAATCTCTGAACTATTTAACATCCGGTCCTGCTGCTCGCGACGTTTCTTCTCCTCTGGAACGGGAGGCAGATTGTAGAGGAGGAGGATAAAAAACGGTCAAAGTATCTCTGAAGAATTTCACCCAAAGTATGATGTCCACACAATATATCCAGCAGAGGGCGCAAGAGGTCCATTGCGGCTTAGTAGACTTCGGTCCAGTTAGGCTTAGTAATAAATGTATTAATTCGAACACCTTTCTTGATTTATTTAACCGTTCGTCCCGTGTTTTGAGACCGTGGAGCGATGTGGCGTACACGACCAATAGTGTTGGTATTGTTTTAATAATAATCACGGCAGTAACCTTAATGTTGACTTTGTATTTCCTCTTGTCACTGGCAGACAGTGTTTAGTAGTCGGAGTGAGCCGTGACACTCGTCCTTCTTATCACTTTAGTAAAGCACCAAAGGCGTCTTTGAAAGCGACGTATACGGGTCAGTTATATGAGTGACACATAACCACAACCAATAAGGGTTTGAATTTTTCTACGCCAATGAGAACCTTTGTTTCATCCATTTGCGTTACATTTCCACCGTAGGTACGTCGGGTTTGTTTACCAGTACACTCCGTTTGCATGCCAACTGTTTTCTTTCAGGTCAAAACCTGCGTTTTGTTTCGAACCATATCATGTTTATTAAACGGATATAAACCTCGAAAAGAAAATGTGCATTTGATACAAAATAGTTGATGCAAAATGTGTAGATACTAATATTCGTGATAATGTTTTGATGAAAGGTGACTTAACCACGACTGGCATGTCTGACTGTCGTCGTTTTTACGATAAGCTCTGAAATGTGTTAAATAAAGTGTTGCTTGTACGATCCTATTGTTACATTGCTGTCGCAGTATACATCCGCTGTTGCATTCAAAAATATCCCGAGACTAATCTAACGTTACACATCCATATGGTGAGTTGGAATAAAAACACCGTCGGGTTTCTACACGTGTAGAAAACGAGCGCATCTAATGCCTGTACTCCATTTCCTTTTCTCGCTCTGCAACGATATAATGGAGTGTTGTCTCTTGTGTTTGAAACTGTGAACCTCGGTCAGCTACAATGGCGACTCTCTTGCATACGTTGTGATGAGAAAGAAGGGTGCCGAGCAGATCCAAAATGGCGTCTGTTTCACGACATATTGATGCGGTACCCGCCTACCGTTCCCCGGCCAATCAGGACGCTCGTCTCATGACCTAACCGTTTCCGTCCCTAGCGTCCAAACACTGAAGTCAAAGGCCGCTCGAAAACCGCTCGAATGGGTCGGCGGAGAGGATTAAACCGTGACAAAATATGATCTTTTGATGGTTTACTTTCACCTACGCGAGCATACCGTTGCACGGATAGAGTGTCGAAGGTTCGCAGCTCGCAGTGACGATGCAGTAGCGACGCCGTGAGCGACTTTTCGTGGATATTTTAGTCTTTTTTTCTCGTTTGGACTTGTGTTTGTTGGTCTACATGGTTTTAACAAGCTAGCCGCTAGCCTCGATTCCACGGAGCTGCTTTCGAGCTGCGATGGTCGTCGCTACTTTATGCGGATGTCTCCGGTCCAGTCTGTACTAAACCAACGGCAACAAATGGGATCATCAAGCATCGGCCGGAAACATCGCGGCGTTGACTAAACGTTACACATCTGCTTGAATTTGTGGAAAGACCCAGGTAAGTCTCATTTGTACTGCTCCTGCATAGCTAACGCGTTAACAACAACACACCCGACTGGCTGGCCCCGTGCTTAACTCGTGTTGCGACAATGCTCATATATATGATCGATTTTTAGAATGTATTTACTGGAAATATAAAACATTTTCTTTCACTTCTTGAATGTTTTTCCTTGTGCTCTTCGCCTGCTGTACGTACTGTGTGTATATATACGTTGAATTCAGCTGCACTACTTTAAATTTATGTCAGATGTGTGAGGGGATTAGCAGTGTGAGATATCTTTTTATAATTGCATTTCATGTTTTGAGTAAACAGCTAACCCTTTACACATTAATGTCACGTATGCATCACCTTTTGCCTCCAAACGAGCCCTTTGAGAGGCAAAGGGGCATTTTAACATGAACTTAACCTCTTGATCCATCGTGTGAGATTGGCCTTAAATGTGTGGCACATTGGATATCAAGGACAACCACTTTCCTTACAGCTCTCTGGGCAGTGCCATATCTAACACCCAGATGTTTACCTGTTGTTGCTGTGTCATAACCAGTGTAGTTATTTGGCAGTTGAGAAATCCCCGTCTGGCTGCTTTTCCCACTGAGGTGTGCACCACACACACCGAGTCCCATCCTACCAGGACCTGTTCCAGCACTGAAGCTGACGCACCTACGAGGGGAAAGCAATGAATTAAGGGTCTCCGACCCACGGAGAGGCGTTGGGACTGTTTTAAAGAGCGGCGTTTGGAAAACGCCACGGACCGGTTTGGTTGATCGGGGAAGCGTCGACGGTCGTTGGACCAACAGTGGGTTGTTTGGATGGATAACTGCCACAAATGCCTCCATCCTCGGCGTGAAGTGCCTTTTTGTTTTTCTTTGCCAAGTGCCGTGTGAAGGAGGGGCACTACATGCAAGACCGAATTGAATATGGAGGAGAAGCTCTCTCTGCTTTGGTGCAGTACCAATGCTGAGGAAAACACTGCAGTGCCGCTGGTGGTGTTTTCCACCCAAGATGCTGCGAGTGTTTCAGCTTGTTGGGGCGTTCGTGTTGTCTACACTGCAGAGGCACTGATGCATATCTCTGTCTCCCGTGAGCCTGCGTAGGTCGTATTTATCAGCGCTATTGTCAAAAGCTCACGCGGTAAAATGGGCCTTAATCTGCACACAGGCGAGATGAGGACGTGCAGGATTCGGATGTAAGGAAAGATGTTTTTGCAGAATTCGTAGCAAAATTGGCCACAAATGCATAACAGATGTTGCTGCTGTGTTTTTATTGTCATTGTTAGAATGAAACAAACAAAATTGCAATCTAATTAAAGTTCCTCTGTAACACACACGGTGTGATTGTTGTATCACTGACCCAGTGATGTCAATCAGTCTGGGAGTGTTTTTTGTATGCCTTTTTGATTCAGAATCATGATGTAGTGGACTAAATTATATTTAGATTATTAGTCAAATCTACGGCAAGCCAAGTTTATTTGTAGAACACATTCCAACAGGTCACTTCAAAGTCCTTCACTTAAACACATGGCAAAAGGACATTTTAATAACAATATAAGACAATAGGGCCCTCGGTGGTGTGTTTTTATCTAATTCTGAAGTGATGTTCATGTGGATGCTCACCATTACGGCAGCATATCTATTGCATCCACTAATAAGAAGCAACAGTCGCCCTATCATGGTGTTTTTAAGGCAAAACGGCTAAACCTGTTGATAATTGGTCAGCTGCTTGGACCTCCTGATCTGTGCGTCCCAGCAGGTTCCCATTAGCGATGGCTGGATTTTGCCCCCGTTCCTCTAAGTAGCACCAGCTAATTGAACCATGCCCTCTGCTTGCAGCAGGAAATGGAGTTGTGCTGAGGTCAGGCGGATCACGAGCTGTGATTGTGCTTCTGGGTTCTGCTCCTCGGCTGGTTTACACTGGTGGTTCACAAGAGTCTCCGTTAATGGTCGTTTTGTCCCGGTGTAGGAGACGTGCTCTGACAGCGTTCTGCTAGATCCCTGCCGATTGTTCTGCTCGGCCTCCTCGGCCCCCGTTGGAAAGTCTCCTTCTTGGTTATTCTGATTCTTTCTCAAATCTTGGCCAGTTGGGTGGCCCCACAGTACCATTTCCACAGGATAACCGGAGGATCGTTGTGTCCAACGGTGGCATGCCACAACCTTTTAAATAACATTGTGCACGAGTAGTGTTGATGTCCTTAGACCCTTACTGAGGTACAAATGGCATGGAAACATATACAGCATGTCGTATGGGGCAGGGGGGGCGGCTGAATAACAATCTGATGCAAGGAGCACTGCGGTAGCTGCACAGCAGATATCGCTCACAAAGTATGACTCTGCATTTTACCTCTTCAGCAGAACACTGTACCACATCCTGATTCATTTACCGTCACGCTACAAATTTACTTTTTTTGTTTTTGTTTTTTCCGGTCTTTTGTAATTAACATTTTGCTTGACTTTTGCAATCCAAGTTAAAGCGACTGTTCTATAATCTGTAATTCTCGGCGACCAGGCTGCGTATTGTTGTTTCATTTATACGGGTGTATTGATACCGATGCCCCGATGTTTGTTTTCAATGTAGGTGGTCGATTGAGTTGGTCGCACGGTGTGATTGCAATGTTGTTGTATTACCCAACATCCTTTTTCAAATACTAGTTTTAAATAGGAATTTGAGCCTCTCAAATGTTATTGTTTTTTTTAATCTAATTAACAATG